GCTGAAACCTCTGCTTGCACTGATCACACTCGAAGGGCCTCTCCCCCATGTGGCTCCTCATGTGGACAGTCAGGTTGGAGCTGTTTCTGAAGCTCTTCCCACACTGGGGACACTTGTAGGGTCTCTCCCCAGTGTGGATCCTCCTGTGTGTGACCAGAGTTGAGTTGCGCTTGAATCCCACCCCACAATCGGGACAGCGGAAGGGCCTCTCGTCCGTGTGGATGCGCTGGTGACTGAGGAGTTCAGACGAGGTGTAAAAGCCCTTCTGGCACTGATCACACTCGTAGGGCCTCTCCCCGGTGTGGCTTCTGAGGTGGATAGTCAGATTGCAGCTCTTGGTGAAACGCTTCCCACACTGGGGACACTCATAGGGCCTCTCCCCGGTGTGGCTCCTCAGGTGGGCAGTCAGGCTGGAGCTCTCTCTGAAGCTCTTCCCACACTGGGGACACTCGTGGGGTCTCTCCCCGGTGTGGATTCGCCAGTGGACGACAAGGGCAGATTTGTGCTTGAATCCCTTCCCACAATCAGGACAGCGGAACGGCCTCTCTTCGGTGTGAATTCGCTGGTGACTGAGGAGCCGGCAGCTGCTCTGAAACCTCTTCTGGCACTGATCACACTTGTAGGGACTCTCCCCATTGTGGATGTGCCGGTGGAAAATGAGGGCAGAGATGTGACTGAAACTCTTCCGACAATCAGGGCAGCGGATCGACTTCTGCTCACTGTGAATGCGCTGGTGCTTTAGGAGATGGCAGCTCCGCAGGAACCTCTTCTTGCACTGATCACATTTGTAGGGCTTCTCGCCAGTATGGCTCCTCAGGTGGGCAACGAAGTCGGAACTCAGCATGAAGCTCTTCCAACACGCCCCACACTTGTAGAACCCCTCGCCCGCGTGGATTCTGCAGTGCTCGATCAGTTTCGATCTGAACATGAAGCTCTTCCCACATTCCAAACACTTGTGGGGCTTCTCCTCCCCATCCTGGAGCTGCTCATGGACCCCCAGCTCTGAGCTCTCACCCTGGTCCAGGGTGGGTTTTTCCCCCTCAGATCCCGTGTGGATTCTCTGGTGCACAATCAGGCAGGATCTCCTCCTGAAGCTCTTCCCACACTCGGAGCACTTGTGGGGCTTCTCCTGCCCACCCTGCAGCTGCTCATGGAGCCCCAGCTCGGATCTCTGAGCCCCTCCATGGCCCACGCTGGCTCTTTCCCCCTCGGATCCCCGCGCTCTGCCTTTGCAGCCCCTCCTGCTCAGGGATCTCCGCGGCTTCTCCTCCCCGTTGGCTTCTCCCTGCCGAGCCGTGGAGCCGCTCCAAACGGCCTCTGCCACCAGCTCCTCGCTGCTCTCCATGCTCAGCTCCTGCTCGGGGGGAGCAAGGACAAGGACACGATGGGATTTGCCCCCATGGGGACAAGGACACGATGGGATTTGCCCCCGTAGGGACAAGGACACGATGGGATTTGCCCCCGTGGGGACAAGGACACGATGGGATTTGCCCCCGTGGGGACAAGGACACGATGGGATTTGCCTCCCCTGCCCCACAAAAACGCTCCCGGACACCCCCGCGATGGGGTCGGGCCCAGCTCCCCCTCTCCGCTCACCTGCGGCCTCCGGGGGGCGATGCCGGCGGGGCCGGGGCAGCTGCGGCCGGAGCGGGGGAACCGCGTGGTGTTGGGGCGTTTCTTCCTTCCGCGCTTCCACTTCCCTTTGTCCCTCCTTTTCCTTTGTTCCTCCTCTTCCTTTTCCTCCTTCTCCCCCTCCTCTTCCTCCCGCTCCTCCTCTGCTCCGAGTCCGGCCCGGGCAGCGCCGGCACCAAAATACAGGCGGGGTGAGGGCGTGGTTATGCAAATCCGGGAGCGATCGCGCGCTGGGATTGGTGGGAGGGAGGAGCGCGGGGTGTGCTCGGTGACGTCATGGCTGGGGGTGGAACTGGAGCGTCTGGAGAGAGCGGACCGGGAAAGGGGACCGGGAATGGGAACAGGGACGGGAAATGTAGACCGGGAATGGGGACCAGGCATCGAAACAGGGAATGGGGACAGGGAATGGGAATGGGGTCCGGGAATGGGGACATGGACCGGGAATGGGGACAAGGAATGGGGCCTGGGAATGGAACCGGGAATGCGGACAGGGAGCGGGATTGGCGAGAGGGAATGGTGACCTGGAATGCGGACAAGGAATGGGAACAGCGAATTGGGACCAGTATTGGAAACAGGGACTGGGAATGGGGATAGGAAATGGAAGCAGGGAATGGGGACCCAGCCTGGGGATAAGGACCGGGAATGGGGACCAGTATTGGGGACCCAGATAGCGGATAAGGAGCGGGAATGGTAATGGGGACAGGGAATGGGGACCATGGGGTGCCCAAAGTCCTAAGGAAACCCCAAATCAGTCCCAGAAACCCTCAATTCCCTCTGGCCCAGCATCCCCCTCATCCCCCGGAAGATTCCCCCATGTCCACATCCTTATCTTTGTTAGATGTCTTTATTATTAACATCGGATTTAAAAATGTGTAGAAAAATAACAGAGAAAAAAAGAAAATCCAGGCCATGCGGAGCCAGGTGGATGTGCAGCCGCCAGCAAGCTGTTCTTAAAGCCGGATTAAAGGGGTCTCTGCCCGCCTGGGCTCACTGAGGAGCATCCAGAGCAGATCCTCCCGTGTGAGATGGAGCTGGAGAAGGCGACAGAGCTCTGCCCACCCAGGGCTGCCCTCAGTGCTGCCTCTGCAGGTGTCTGGTCATGCATCCTCTTGTGGTGAACCTCTTCCTACACTGGGGACACTGGTAGGGTCTCTCTCCAGTGTGGATGCGCTGGTGGGCGATGAGGGTACACTTCTGCTTGAATCCCATCCCACAATCACGACAGCGGAAGGGCTTCTCATCCGTGTGGATGCGCTGGTGCTTGAGGAGATTGGATGTGGATTGAAACCTCTTCTTGCACTGATCACACTCGTAGGGCCGCTCCGCAGTGTGGCTCCTCAGCTGCACAGTCAGGCTGGAGTTCTCTCTGAAGCCCTTCCCACACTGGGGACACTCGTGTGGTCTCTCCCCGGTGTGGATGCACCGGTGGATAATGAGGGCAGAGTTGTCCCTGAATCCCTTCCCACACTCACGGCAGTGGAACGGCCTCTCCTCGGTGTGAATGAGCTGGTGGCTGAGGAGATGGGTGCTGGTCAGGAACCTCTTCTGGCACTGACCACACTCGTAGGGCCTCTCCGCGGTGTGAATGCACCGATGCTTGTTGAGTTCGGAGGCGCTTTTGTAGCGCTTCACGCAGTCGGGGCACTGGAAGGGCCTCTCGCCTGTGTGTGAGCGTTGGTGCACCACAAGATCAGAGCTGGTCACAAACCTCTTCTGGCACTGATCACACTCGTAGGGTCGTTACCCCGTGTGGCTCCTAAGATGGACAGTCAGGTTGAAGGTGTCTCTGAAGCTCTTCCCACATACCCCACACTCGCAGGGTCGTTCCCCCGTGTGGATTCTGCAATGTTTCATCAGCCAGGATCTCCACCTGAAGCTCTTCCCACACTCGGAGCACTTGTGGGGCTTCTCCTGCCCACCCTGCAGCTGCTCATGGAGCCCCAGCTCGGATCTCTGAGCCCCTCCATGGCCCACGCTGGCTCTTGCCCCCTCGGATCCCCGCGCTCTGCCTTTGCAGCCCCTCCTGCTCAGGGATCTCCGCGCCTTCTCCTCCCCGTTGGCTTCTCCCTGCCGAGCCGTGGAGCCGCTCCAAACGGCCTCTGCCACCAGCTCCTCGCTGCTCTCCATGCTCAGCTCCTGCTCGGGGGGAGCAAGGACAAGGACACGATGGGATTTGCCCCCGTGGGGACAAGGACACGATGGGATTTGCCCCCGTGGGGACAAGGACACGATGGCATTTGCCCCCGTGGGGACAAGGACACGATGGGATTTGCCTCCCCTGTCCCACAAAAACCCTCCCGGAGACCCCCGCGATGGGGTCGGGCCGAGCTCCCCCTCTCCGCTCACCTGTGGGCTCCGGGCGGCGATGCCGGCGGGGCGGGGGCAGCCGCGGCCGGAGCGCGGGAACCGCGTGGTGTTGGGGCGCCTTTTCCTCCCGCTCTTCCTCCGCGGTTGTCCCGCCTCTTCCTTTGTTCCTCCTCTTCCTCCTCCTCCTTCTCCCCCTCCTCTTCCTCCCGCTCCTCCTCCGCTCCGAGTCCGGCCCGGGCAGCGCCCGCACCAAAATACAGGCGGGGTGAGGGCGTGGTTATGCAAATCCAGGAGCGATCGCGCCCGGGGATTGGTGGGACGGTGGAGCGCGGGCTTTGCTCGGTGACGTCAAGGCGGGGGCGGGGCAGCTGGAGCGTCCGGAGAGAGCGGAGCGGGAATGGGGATCGGGAATGGGGACCGGTAATGGGGACCGGGAATGGGAACAGGGAATGGGGACCGGGAATAGGAACCGGGACAAGGAATGGAGACTGGGAAGGGGAAAGGAACCGGGAATGCGGACAACGACCGGGAATGGGGACGGGGAATGGGTACCGGGAATGCGGGCAAGGAATGGGAACAGGAAATGGAGACCACTATAGGGGACAGCAACTGAGAATGGGGACAGGGAATGGAGGCAGGGAATGGGGACCCAGACTGGGGAGAAGGAACGGGAATGGGAATGGGAACAGGGAATGGGGACCGTGGGGTGCCCGAAGTCCTAAGGAAGCCCCAAATCTGTCCCAGGAACCCTCAACTCCCTCAGGCCCAGCATCACCCTGACACCCTGGAAGATCCTCCCATGGCCACATCCTCGTCTTGGTTCAACATCTTTATTATCAACCTCGGACTCAGAAAAGTGTATTAAAATGACAAAGAGATATAAAAAGAAAATCCAGGCTATGAGGAGCCAGGTGGATGTGGAGTCCCCAGCCAGGTGTTCTTCAAGCATGGGTCAAGGGGGCTCTGCACACCTGGGCTCACGGGGGACCATCCAGAGCAGATCCTCCCGTGTGAGATGGAGCTGGAGAAGGCCAAAGAACTCTTCCCACCAAGGGCTGCCCTCAGTGCTGGCTCTTCTGGTGTCTGGTCATGCTGCCGCTTGTGGTGAAGCCCTTCCCACACTGGGGACACTGGTAGGGTCTCTCTCCAGTGTGGATGCGCCGGTGGGTGATGAGGGCACGGTTCCGCTTGAATCCCACCCCACAATCAGGACAGCGGAAGGGCTTCTCATCCGTGTGGATGCGCTGGTGCAGGAGGAGATCAGACGTGGCCCGAAACCTCTTCTTGCACTGATCACACTCATAGGGCCTCTCCCTGGTGTGGCTCCTCAGGTGGGCAGTCAGGTTGGAGCTCTGCCTGAAGCTTTTCCCACACTGGGGACACTCATAGGGCCTCTCCCCTGTGTGGATGCGCTGGTGGGTGATGAGGTGGGACTTGTGTCTGAATCCCTTCCCGCAGTCACGGCAGTGGAACGGCCTCTCCCCCGTGTGAATGAGCTGGTGACTGAGGAGATCAGAGCTCTTCAGGAACCTCTTCTGGCACTGACCACACTCGTAGAGTCGTTCCCCAGTGTGGCTCCGCAGGTGGACAATCAGGTTGGAGCTCTGCCTGAAGCTTTTCCCACACTGGGGACACTCGTGGGGTCTCTCCCCAGTGTGGATGCGCCGGTGGATGATGAGGGTGGAGTTGTGTCTGAATCCCTTCCCGCAGTCACGGCAGTGGAACGGCTTCTCCCCGGTGTGGATGAGCTGGTGACTGAGGAGATGCGAGCTGGTCGGGAACCTCATCTGGCACTGATCACACTCGTAGAGTCGTTCCCCAGTGTGGCTCCTCAGGTGGACAATCAGGTTGGAGCTCTGCCTGAAGCTTTTCCCACACTGGGGACACTCGTGGGGTCTCTCCCTGGTGTGGATGCGCCGGTGGACGATGAGGGCAGAGTTGTGTCTGAATCCCTTCCCGCACTCACGGCAGTGGAACGGCCTCTCCCCCGTGTGGATGAGCTGGTGGCGCAGGAGATCTGGGCTGCTCAGGAACCTCATCTGGCACTGACCACACTCGTAGGGCCTCTCCCCGGTGTGGATGCGCCGGTGCTTGTGGAGATCGCCTCTGCGCTTAAACCTCTTCTTGCACTGATCACACTCATATGGTCTCTCCCCACTGTGAATGCGCCGGTGGATGGTGAGAGTGGAATTTTCCCTGAATCCCTTCCCACAATCAGGACAGCTGAACGGCCGCTCCTCGGTGTGAATGCGCTGGTGACGGAGCAGATGGGAGCTGCGCAAGAACCTCTTCTTGCACACATCACACTCGTAGGGTCGCTCCCCCGTGTGGATTCTGCAATGCTGCATCAGGCGGGATCTCCACCTGAAGCTCTTCCCACACTCGGAGCACTTGTGGGGCTTCTCCTGCCCACCCTGGAGCTGCTCATGGAGCCCCAGCTCGGATCTCTGAGCCACTCCATGGCCCAGGCTGGCTCTTGCCCCCTCGGATCCCCGCGCTCTGCCTTTGCAGCCCCTCCTGCTCAGGGATCTCCGCGGCTTCTCCTCCCCGTTGGCTTCTCCCTGCCGAGCCGCGGAGCCGCTCCAAACGGCCTCTGCCACCAGCTCCTCGCTGCTCTCCATGCTCAGCTCCTGCTCTGGGGGAGCAAGGACAAGGACACGATAGGAGTTGCCCCCGTGGGGACAAGGACACGATGCGATTTGCCTCCCCTGCCGCACAAAAACCCTCCCGGAGACTCCCGCGATGGGGTCGGGCCGAGCTCCCCCTCTCCGCTCACCTGCGGCCTCCGGGGGTCGATGCCGGCGGGGCCGGGGCGCCTGCGGCCGGAGCGCGGGAACCGCGTGGGGTTGCGGCGCTTCTTCTTCCCGCTCTTCCTCTGCCGTTGTCCCTCCTCTTCCATTGTCCCTCCTCTTCCTTTGTCCCTCCTCTTCCTCCTCCTCCTTCTCCCCCTCCTCTTCCTCCCGCTCCTCCTCCGCTCCGAGCCCGGCCCGGGCAGCGCCGGCACCCACAAGCGGGCGGAGGGAGAGGGCGTGGTTATGCAAATCCTGGAGCGATCGAGCGCTGGGATTGGTGGGAGGAAGGAGCGCGGGCTTTGCTCGGTGACGTCATGGCTGGGACCGGGAATGGGGACAGGGACCGGGAAGGGAAAAGGGACCCTGCTGTGTTCTCTGGGCTCCCAGGGTGAGGGAAGAGATGAAAATTTTGACTCCATTTTTTCATTTTCAGAAAGCTCATTTATTATTTTATTATTGATATATTTTATTAAAAGAAAATGCTCTATTAAAACTCTAGTAAAAGAATAGAAAAAAGGATTTCATATTAAGGCTTCAAAGGAATAGAACGGAATGATAATAAAATCTTGTGAGCGACCAGAGAGTCTGAGAGAGCCAAATTTTCAAAGCTCATTAATTAAAAACAGCCCCATTAGGCCAATCAAGGCGAAAATGCTGCATTCCACGGCAGCAGATAATTAGTGTTTTTATGGTAATTTCTGAGGCCTCTCACCTTCTCAAGAGAAAAAAATCCCAAGGAAAGGATTTTATAATAAAATGTGCCAGTGACAGGAGCGTGAATACTGGACTGGGAATACAGGAGAGAGGCTGGAATTGGGAGCAGGAATCAGAAAATGGAACGGGACTGGGAATAGAGAAATGGGAATTGGGGACTGGAATAGGAAAATGGGAACAGGACAGGAAATACGGGAATGGCAACCAGATAGAGAATATGGGACAGGGACAAGTATTGAGACAGGAATGGGATCTGGACTCGGATGAGAGCAGGATCCTGGACAGGGGACAGCAGGAACCAGGATGGGAGGACGTGGGGACACTGCCAGGGCAGGGGGTCCTTGATCTGCTGCCCCAGATGGAGCTGCTGGGCCTGGGGTGCCCAAAGCCCTGAGGAACCCCCAAATCTGTCCCAGGAACCCTCAACTCCCTCAGACCCAGCATCCCCCTCATGCCCATCCTTGCTTTATTTTAATGTCTTCATTTTAGACCTCAGATTTGGGTGTTTGGAAAGGACAAAGAGAAATAAAAAGAAAATCCATGCCATGACGAGCCAGGAGGATGTGGAGCCCTCAGCCAGGTGTGCTCCAAACAGGGATCACCTGGGCTCTGCCCCCCTGGGCTCACTGGGACGATCCAGAGCAGATCCTCCCATGGGGGATGCGGCTGGAGAAGCCCGTGGAGCTCTTCCCACTCAGGGCTGCCTTTAGTGCTGGCTCTTCTGGTGTCTGCTCAAGGCAGAGCTTTTAGAGAAGCTCTTCCCACACTGGGAACACTTGTAGGGTCTCTCCCCGGTGTGGATCCTCCTGTGTGTGACCAGAGTTGAGTTGTGCTTGAATCCCACCCCACATTCGGGACAGCGGAAGGGCCTCTCGTCCGTGTGGATGCGCTGGTGCACGAGGAGATGAGACGAGGTGTAAAAGCCCTTCTGGCACTGATCACACTTGTAGGGCCTCTCCCCAGTGTGGCTCCTCAGGTGGGCAGTCAGGCTGAAGCTCGCTCTGAAGCTCTTCCCACACTGGGGACACTCGTGGGGTCTCTCCCCGGTGTGGATGCGCCGGTGGACGATGAGGGCAGAGTTGCACGTGAATCCCTTCCCACACTCACGGCAGTGGAACGGCTTCTCCTCGGTGTGAATGAGCTGGTGGCTGAGGAGATGGGAGCTGCTCAGGAACCTCTTCTGGCACTGAACACACTCGTAGGGCCTCTCCCCGGTGTGGCTGCGGCTGTGCTCATTGAGGTGGGAGACGCGGTTGAAGCGCTTCCCGCAGTCGGGGCACTGGAAGGGCCTCTCGTCTGTGTGTGAGCGCTGGTGCCCCACGAGATCACCGCTGCTCCGAAACCTCTTCTGGCACTGATCACACTGGTAGGGTCGTTCCCCCGTGTGGCTCCTCTGGTGGTAAATCAGGTGGGACTTGGACATGTAGCTCTTCCCACATTCCCCACACTCATAGGGCCTCTCCCCAGTGTGGGTCCCCAGGTGGGCAGTCAGGTGGGAGCTCTTTCGGAAGCCCTTCCCACACTGGGGACACTCGTGGGGTCTCTCCCCGGTGTGGATGCGCCGGTGGGTGATGAGGTGGGACTTGTGTCTGAATCCCTTCCCACACTCACGGCAGTGGAACGGCCTCTCCTCGGTGTGAATGAGCTGGTGGCTGAGGAGATGGGAGCTGCTCAGGAACCTCTTCTGGCACTGACCACACTCGTAGGGCCTCTCCCCGGTGTGGATGCGCCGGTGCCTGTTGAGGTGGGAGACGAGGTTGAAGCCCTTCCCGCAGTCAGGGCACTGGAAGGGCCTCTCATCTGTGTGTGAGCGCTGGTGCACCACGAGATCATTGCTCCTCAAAAACCGCTTCTTGCACTGGTCACACTGGTAGGGTCGTTCCCCCGTGTGGCTCCTCTGGTGGAGAGTCAGTTTGGACCGACACCTGAAGCTCCTCCCACACTCCCCACACTCATAGGGCCTCTCCCCAGTGTGGATTCGCTTGTGGATGGCGAGGCTCGACCTTTGCCTGAATCCCTTTCCACAATCAGGACAGCAAAATGGCCGCTCGTCGGTGTGAGTGCGCTGGTGACTGACGAGACTGGAGTTGGTGTAAAACCTCTGATGGCATTCATCACACTCGTAGGGCTTCTCCCCCGTGTGGCTCCTCAGGTGGACATTCAAGTTGGATCTCCTCCTGAAGCTCTTCCCGCACTCGGAGCACTTGTGGGGCTTCTCCTGCCCACCCTGGAGCTGCTCATGGAGCCCCAGCTCGGATCTCTGAGCCCCTCCATGGCCCAGGCCGGCTCTTTCCCCCTCGGATCCCCGCGCTCTGCCTTTGCAGCCCCTCCTGCTCAGGGATCTCCGCGGCTTCTCCTCCCCGTTGGCTTCTCCCTGCCGAGCCGTGGAGCCGCTCCAAACGGCCTCTGCCACCAGCTCCTCGCTGCTCTCCATGCTCAGCTCCTGCTCGGGGGGAGCAAGGACAAGGACACGATGGGATTTGCCCCCGTGGGGACAAGGACACGATGGGATTTGCCCCCGTGGGGATAAGGACAAGATGGGATTTGCCCCCGTGGGGACAAGGACACGATGGGATTTGCCTCCCCTGTCCCACAAAAACCCTCCCGGAGACCCCCGCGATGGGGTCGGGCCGAGCTCCCCCTCTCCGCTCACCTGCGGCCTCCGGGGGGCGATGCCGGCGGGGCCGGGGCAGCTGCGGCCGGAGCGCGGGAACCGCGTGGGGTTGCGGCGCCTCTTCCTCCCGGTGTTCCTTTTCCGTTGTCCCTCCTCTTCCTCCTCCTCCTTCTCCCCCTCCTCTTCCTCCCGCTCCTCCTCCGCTCCGAGTCCGGCTCGGGCAGCGCCGGCACCCAAAAGCAGGCGGAGAGCGAGGGCGTGGTTATGCAAATCCGGGAGCGATCGCGTGCTGCGATTGGTGGGGGGAGGAGCGCGGGGTTTGCTCGGTGACGTCATGGCGGGGACGCGGAACGGGACCGGGAACGGGAATACAGGAGAGGGGCTGGGATGGGGATCAGGAATCAGAAAATGGGAACGGGACAGGGAATAGAGAAATGGGAATTGGGGACTGGAATAGGAAAAGGAGAACAAAACAGGAAATAGAGAAATGGGAATTGGGGACTGGAACAGGAAAATGGGAACGAGACAGGGAATACGGGAATGGGAACCGGATAGAGAATATGGGACAGGGACAAGTATTGAGACAGGAATGGGATCTGGACTCGGATGAGAGCAGGATCCTGGACAGGGGACAGCAGGAACCAGGACGGGAGGACGTGGGGACACTGCCAGGGCAGGGGGTCCTTGATCTGCTGCCCCAGATGGAGCTGCTGGGCCTGGGGTGCCCAAAGCCCTGAGGAACCCCCAAATCTGTCCCAGGAACCCTCAACTCCCTCAGACCCAGCATCCCCCTCATGCCCATCCATGTTTTCGTTTAACATCTTTATTATTATTTCCAGATATAAATGTTTAAAAAGAACAAAGAGAAATAAAAAGAAAATCCAGGGGAGTCAGCAGGATGTGGAGCCCTCAGCCAGGTGTCCTCGATACCTGGATCATCTGGGCTCTGCCCACTTGGGATCACTGGAGACCATCCAGAGCAGATGCTCTTGTGGGGGATGATGCATTTAAGGCTATCTAGTGTTGCTTAAAACTACCAAAAGATGAAAAAATTTCGATATTTCTGGGTCAGAAGTTGACAAATCCAGGAGCATGCGAAGCCCTCAACCAGGTGGCTTCCAAACACGGATCTCCAGCGTTCTGCTCATTGGGGCTCACTGGGGACCATCCAGAGCAGATCCTCCCGTGTGAGATGGAGCTGGAGCAGCGCACGGAGCTCTTCCCACCTCAGTGCTGGCTCTGCAGGTGTCTGGTCATGCTGCAGCTGGTGGTGAAGCCCTTCCCACACTGGGGACACTGGAATGGCTTCTCCCCGGTGTGGCTGCGCTGGTGGATCACCAGGTTGGACTTGTGCCTGAAGCCCTTGCCACAGTCAGGACAGCAGAACGGCCTCTCCTCGGTGTGCATCAGCTTGTGGCTGAGGAGGTGGGAGCTGGTCAGGAACCTCTTCTTGCACACATCACACTCGTAGGGTTTCTCCCCGCTGTGGCTCCTCTGGTGGTAAACCAGGTGGGACTTGGACATGAAGGCCTTGCCGCACTCCCCGCACTCGTGGGGCCGCTCCCCGGTGTGGATCATCTGGTGGGTGACCAGGTAGGACCTGGTGGTGAAGCTCTTGCCGCACCTCCTGCACTCGTAGGGCCTCACCTGCGTGTGGCACTTCTGGTGGACGATCAGGCTGGAGCTCTGCGAGAAGCTCCTCCAGCAGTACTCGCACTCGTAGGGCCGCTCCGCGTGGCCCCTCTGGTGCGCGAACAGGTTGGAGCTCTGCGTGAAGCTCTTCCCGCACTGCCCGCACACGTACGGCCTCTCCCCGGTGTGGATCCTCCGGTGCTTGACCAGGCTGGACTTTTGCCGGAAGCCCTTCCCGCAGTCGTCGCAGCGGAACGGTTTCTCCCCGGTGTGGATGCGCTGGTGCTCCGCCAGCAGCGAGCGGGTCGGGAAGGAGCTCTGGCACTGCTCGCACCCGTAGGGCCTCTCCCCGGTGTGGGTGCGGCGGTGCCGGACGAGGGCCGAGTTCTCCTTGAAGCCCGCGCCGCACTCGGGGCACCGGAACGGCCGCTCGCCCGTGTGCGAGCGCTGGTGGACGACGAGCGAGGAGCTGCTCTGGAACCTCTTCTGGCACTGGTCACACTCGTAGGGCTTCTCCCCAGTGTGGGTCCTCAGGTGGCTGGTCAGGTGCGACTTCCAGCTGAAGCTCTTCCCGCACTGCTGGCACTCGTAGGGTTTCTCCCCGGTGTGGGTCCTCCTCTGGTGCAGAAGCAGCTGCGAGCTCCAGCTGAAGCTCTCCCCACACTCCCCGCACTTGTAGGGCTTCTCCCCGGTGTGGATCCTGCTGTGCTCCAACAGGTTGGATCTCCACTTGAAGCTCTTCCCACACTCGGAGCACTTGTGGGGCTTCTTCTCCCCACCCTGGAGCTGCTCATGGAGCCCCAGCTCTGAGCTCTGGTCCAGGGTGGGTTTGTCCCCCTCAGATCCCACCTGTGGCCCCGTGTGGATTCTGCAGTGCTTGACCAGGGACGATTTCCACACGAAGCTCTTCCCACACTCCGAGCACTTGTGGGGCTTCTCCTTCTCATCCTGGAGCTGCTCATGGAGCCCCAGCTCTGATTTCTCTCCCCCTGCCTGGTCCAGGATGGGTCGTTCCCCCTCAGATCCCACTTGTTGTTCCATGTGGATCTTCTGGTGGGCAAGCAGGTGGGAACTCACCTTGAAGCTCTTCCCACACTCGGAGCACTTGTGGGGCTTCTCCTGCCCACCCTGGAGCTGCTCATGGAGCCCCAGCTCCAAGTTCTGACCACCTTCCTGCTTCAGGGTGGGTTTTTCCCCCTCAGATCCCACCTGTTGCTCCATGTGGATCTTCTGGTGGACAATGAGCTTGGACCTCTTAGTGAAGCTCTTCCCACACTCCGAGCACTTGTGGGGCTTCTTCTCCTCACCCTGGAGCTGCTCACGGAGCCCCAGCTCGGCCTCTGCCACCAGCTCCTCGCTGCTCTCCATGCTCAGCTCCTGCTCTGGGGGAGCAAGGACAAGGACACGATGGGATTTGCCCCCGTGGGGAGAAGGACACGATGCGATTTGCCTCCCCTGCCCCCCACAAAAAACCCTCCCGGAGACCCCCGCGATGGGGTCGGGCCGAGCTCCCCCTCTCCGCTCACCTGCGGCCTCCGGGGGGCGATGCCGGCGGGGCCGAGGCAGCTGCGGCCGGAGCAGGGTTGGAGCTGCTCCTCCTTTTCCTCTTCCTCTTGCTCCTCCTTTTCCTCCTGCTTATTCTGCCGCTCCTCCTCCTTCTTTGTCCCTCCTCTTCCTCCCCCTCCTCCCCCCCTCCCAAAAGCAGCCGCTCTCTGCCGTGGGCGGGTTCCGGGAGCGCTTTCCCTGCCGGTGCCTTTCTTACTGGGAGCGCTGGGAGCGATACTGGGAGCGCTGGGAGGGAACTGGGAGCGCTGGGAGCGATACTGGGAGCGCTGGGAGCGATACTGGGAGCGGTGGGAGGGAACTGGGAGCGCTGGGAGCGATACTGGGAGCGGTGGGAGGGAACTGGGAGCGAACGGCGCCGGGCGCGGCTGCAGCCGGCGCGGGGAGGGCGTGGTTATGTAAATGAGCGTCCTAGCGGGAGTGTTTTATCCATATGGGCGTGTTTATGCAAATCTGGGAGCGATGGCGCGCTGCGATTGGTTGGCTGGAGCAGCGCGTTGTTTCCTCCGTCACGTGAGGGCTGAGGGGGAGCGGAGCGATGGCGGCGGCCTCCGGTGAGGGGAGACCGGGACCGGGAATGGGGAACGGGAATGGGCACCGGGAACGGGGAGAGGGACCGGGAATGGGGAATGGGGACAGAGAATGGGGACCGGGCATGGGACCGGGAGCTGGGAACGTGTACGGGACAGTCCGGTAACGGGAGCAGCGGAACACGGGGCCGGGATTACCGGGAACCGGGCGGGGCTCGGGGACACCGGAGACCCGAGCAGGAGGGTTAACGGGGACAGGGGACACCGGGAGAGGAGGTGACACCAAGCAGAGGGGACACCGGAGCGAGGGGGTGACACCGAGCAGCGGTGACCCCGGGCCGAGGTGACACCGGGCCGAGGTGCCACCGTCCGGTGTCCCCAGAGACCGAGCGGCTGCTGAGCCGCGGCCCCGGGTACGGCACGGCCGAGGCGGCGCCGGTACCGGGACGGGAAGATGAGGAAGAGGAGGAGGAGGAGGATGAGGAGGAAGAGCTGCGGCGGCGCCTCAAGTATTTCTTCATGAGCCCCTGTGACAAGTACCGGGCCCGCGGGCGGCGGCCCGTGAAGCTCGGGCTGCAGCTGGCCAAGATCGTGCTGGTCACCGTGCAGGTGGCACCGGCGGGGACAGCGCGGGTGGCACCGGGGACAGCGGGGATGGCGATGGGGACAGCGGGGGGACACTGGGGACAGTGAGGATGGCACCGGGGACAGCGGGGGTGGCACCGGGGACAGAGGGGACAGCGGGGATGGCACCGGGGACAGCGGGGACAGAGGGGACAGCAGGGATGGCACTGGGGACAGCGGGGGTGGCACTGGGGACAACAGGGACAGAGGGGACAGCGGGGATGGCACCGGGGACAGCGGGGATGGACGGTGGGGACAGCGGGGGTGGCACTGGGGACAGCGGGGGTGGCACTGGGGACAACGGGGACAGAGGGGACAGCGGGGATGGCACTGGGGACAGCAGGGGTGGCACTGGGGACAACAGGGACAGAGGGGACAGCGGGGATGGCACCGGGGACAGCGGGGACAGAGGGGACAGCAGGGATGGCACTGGGGACAGCGGGGGTGGCACTGGGGACAACGGGGACAGAGGGGACAGCGGGGATGGCACCGGGGACAGCGGGGATGGCGTTGGGGACAGCAGGGATGGCGGTGGGGACAGCGGGGGTGGCACTGGGGACAGCGGGGACAGCGGGGATGGCACCGGGCACAGCGGGGACTGTGGGGACAGAGGGGACAGCGGGGATGGCACTGGAGACACAGGGTCACCAGAGATGGGGCGCAGGGACACTGGAGAGGGGACATGGGGACACCAGGGAGGGCACACAGGGACTTGGGGACACTTTGGGAGGGACACCGGAGTGTCCTGGGACAAAGCGTGGCGGCGTCACTGCGGTGGGACAGGGGTGGGTGGCAGCGGTGGCCTTTGTCCCCAAGCGTGGGTGACACCGTTTTGGGTGGGGGCGAAGCGCGGCGGTGTCACCGGGATGGGACGGGCGGTGACAGAGGCGGTGGCCTTTGTCCCCAGCTGATCCTGTTCGGGCTCAGCAACCAGCTGGTGGTGGCCTTCAAGGAGGACAACACGGTGGCCTTCAAGCACCTGTTCCTCAAGGGCTACGAGGACGGCGCCGATGACACCGCGGCCATCTACACCCGCGGGGACCTCCTGGAGCACCTGGCCTTCGTCCTCCAGCAGGTGGCACGGGGACACCTGCAGGGCTTGGGGACATCAGTAGGGTTGGGGACATGGGGACCTCCTGGAGCGCGTGGCCTTCGTCCACAAGAAGGTGGCACGGGGACATCTGCAGGGGTTGGGGACATCGGGGGAATTGGGGACATCAGGGCCTCCTGGAGCACGTGGCCTTCATCCTCGAGCAGGTGGCACGGGGACACTTGCAGGGCTTGGGGACATCAGAAGAATTGAGGACATGGTGGTGGTTTGGGGCCGTGGAGATGTTTGGGGACACTGAGGTGCCACCTCCACGCCCGTGTCCCCGCAGTACCTGGCTGTCCCCAACGAGACCCTGGGCCACCACGTTTTGGGGACACAGAGATGTTTTGGGGACACAGAGATGTTTTGGGACCGTGGGGACCTTTTGGGTTTTGGGGCCACCCAGGTGCCACCTCCGTGTCCCCGCAGTACCTGGCTGTCCCCAACGAGACCTTGGGCCGTTACGCCTACGGTGACATCGGCGGTGGCCCCGGGGGTGGCCCCGGGCTCCGGCTGTGCCAGCGCTTCTTCCGCAGGGGCGACATCGACCCCGAGAACGACACCTTCGACATCGACCCCAGCGTGGTCACCGGTGCCACACCGGGGTTGGGGTCCGGGGTGGATTTGGGGTGCAGGGTTTGGGGTTTGGGGTCTGGGGTGGGGTTTGGGGTGCAGGGTTTGGGGTTTGGGGCTGGGGTGGGATTTGGGGTGCAGGGTTTGGGGTCTGGGGTGGATTTGGGGTGCAGGGTTTGGGGTTTGGGGCTGGGGTGGGGTTTGGGGTGCAGGGTTTGGGGTCTGGGGTCTGGGGTGGATTTGGGGTGCAGGGTTTGGGGTTTGGGGTTGGATTTGGGGTTTGGGGGTTTGGGGTTGGATTTGGATTTGGGGTGCAGGGTTTGGGGTTTGGGGTGTGGGGTTGGATTTGGGGTTTGAGGTTTGGGTGTGGGTTTGGGTTTGGGGTTTGGGTTTGGATTTGGATTTGGGGTGCAGGGTTTGGGGTTTGGGGTGTGGGGTTGGATTTGGGGTTTGGGGTTGGATTTGGGGTTTGGGGTGTGGGGTTGGGGGTGTAGGGTTTGGGAGTTGTTTGGGATTTGGGGTTTTGAGTTTGGGGTTTGGAAGTGGAGGACTGGATTTGGGGTTGAATTTGGGGTTTGGGGCTTGGGATCTGGGGTTGGATTTGGGATTTGGGGTTGGATTTGGGATTTGGGGTTGGATTTGGGATTTGAAGTTTGGGGTGCAGGGTTTGGGAGTTGTTTGGGATTTGGGGCTTGGGGCTGGATTTAGGATTTGGGGTTTGGGGGATTGGTTTTGGGGCTGGATTTGGGGGTTGGAGTTGGGAGTTTGGGGTTGGATTTGAGGTTGGGTTTGGGGGTTTGGGGTTGGAGTTGGGGTTGGGGTTGGGTTTAGGATGTGGGGTTTGGGGTTGGATTTAGGATTTGAAGTTTGGGGTTTGGGGTTTGGGGTTTGGGAATTCCCGGGGATTTTGTGCTCCCTGACCCCACTCCCGGCCCCACAGAGTGCCTGGGGGTTCACCCCGGGGACCCCCAACCCCCCGTGCTGGACGGCCCCGGCAGCAACTTCACCCTCCAGTTCCACAGGTGCGCCCCAAAAACCCCCAAAATTCCCCCAGAATCCCCCCAAAATCCCCCCAAGAACCCCCAAAATCCCCCCCAAAACCCCAAAATTCCCTCAAAAATCCCCCCCAAATCCCCTCAAAATCCCCTCAAATCCCCCAAAATCCCCCCAAGAACCCCCAAAATCCCCCCCAAAACCCCAAAATTCCCTCAAAAATCCCCCCCAAATCCCCCAAAATTCCCTCAAAAACCCTCAAAATCCCCCCCAAAACCCCCAAAATCCCCCCCAAAACCTCAAAATTCCCTCAAAAATCCCCCCAAAAACCCCCAAAATCCCCCCCAAAACCCCAAAATTCCCTCAAAAATCCCCCCAAATCCCCCAAAATTCCCCCAAAATTCCCCCAAAATCCCCTCAAAATCCCTCAAAAATCCCCCCAAAAACCCCCAAATCCCCCCCCCCCCCAAAATCCCTTTTTGGTGTTTTTGGGGTGAATTTTCCCACTTTTGGTGTTTCTGGGGTGATTTTTGTCCCCCCAGGCTGATCAACGTCACCGTGGAGTTCCAGCTCAAGGCCATCAACATCCAAACGCTGCTGAACCACGAGATCCCCGACTGCTACACCTTCGGCGTCACCGTCAGTGTCCCCAAAGTGTCCCCAAGGGTCCCCAAATATCCCAAAGTGTCACAAAGTGTCCCCTGGGTGTCCCTAAATGTCCCCGGTTGTCCCTTCAGTCTCCGTAAAAATCCTAAAGTGTCCCTCAGGTGTCCCCAAAGTGTCCCCAAATATCCCAAAGTGTCCCCTGAGTGTCCTTTGGGTGTCCCCTAAATGTCCCCAAGTGTCCCAAAGTGTCCCCAAATGTCCTGAAGTGTCCCCAAGTGTCCCCTCATTGTCCCCAAATATCTTAACGTGTCCCATAGGTGTCCCCTGAGTGTCCCCAGAGCGTCCCCAAGTGTCCCCTCAGTGTCCCCAAGTGTCCCCTCAGTGTCCCCTATGTCTTTAAGTGT